TTAACTGTCACAGTACAGTTACCTGGATCGGACTCCACCGTGAAGTCGCCATGAGCCCAGGTTATTCTGTAACTCCAGCTGCACCCTGCTCTCTAACTGCAGTTTTAAAAGCTCAGTTCTGTTTCAGTGTCCCTGCTGTCATCAGACTTCAGGCTCCGCCAGAGAACTCCTGGCCACATGGCCCCCCACTGGCTCCCAGGCAGCCCTCTCTGTTTACCTAGCCTGTTGGCACATGTTCTATAGACAGAAAGCCACGTCAGACAGTCAGCATGGCAGCAGTTATATTCCTGCCCTCAGTCACAACGGAAGGTCACTTCAAAGGGGCCTCAAAGGAGGGTGTGCAGTTTTGTTTCAAGGCTTCGTTACGAAGACATCTTTATCAACTTGTTCACCCATGTGAGTGTCTTAAATGCATTCAGACCTGGTCCCGCACAGATCAAAAGGGACTATGGTTGTCCCTTGATATCCATGGGATGAGGTGGTTCAAGAATCTTCCTCTGATACCAACACCCATGGGTGCTCAAGCGCCTCACATAAAATGTTATAATAGTCACAAGTAGCCTGCTCACTCCCTCCCATATACTTTATATCATGTCTGGATTTATTATAATACCTAATACAATGTAAATGCTATATAAATAGGTGTTAAAATCTGTTGTGTAGGGAGTAAGAACATAAAGTCTGCGTGTTGCATACAAAGGCAGGTTTTTAGTATTTTCAGTCAGTGGTTGGTTGAGTTGGTGTGGTATCGGTAACCATGGATGCTGATTGAGGGCCCCGCTGCCGGATCCCATAGCAGGAACCTTCCAGGAAGTGTGTGAGGGCCTCTGGGAGGCCCTCTAAGACAGCTACCAGATTGTTCAGCCACCTGCGTGGCAGCAGAGCTAGGATTCATCTTGGGCCATGTCATCACCCCAGGAGCTCCCTGCGTGCTCGGACCCCTGCAAGCTGCTGCCCCTAGCAGTGCCCACCTCCCACCTTGGAGGGGTCACTGTGGGTTGAAGGAGGTCATGTCTAATAGTCACTCAGCGCGTCTGGGGCAAACATCATTCGGCAGTGAGAGCTGCTGAGAGTCAAGGACTCAAGGACTGTGAAAGAAAGGGACCCACGACAGGAAAGGGAGTGGCTCTGATGGGAGGGCACATCATCAGACAGGGAAGCCTGAGGGGTGCTTGGGGTGTCCGGGTGTGGAAGGCACCCATGTGGCCAAGCCCAGACTCCATCCTTAGCCCTGTAGAGGGTTAGTCCCACACCCCATACCCCGGGCCTGACCAACAGTCAGTTCTCATTGCCCTTTTATTCTTGACTGAATGCTTTTCTTTGTTTGCTGGTTAATAAACTTGTGCCATTCCAAGTTCTTTAGGAAATAGACACATGACAGAAACACTCCCCAGGCATTGGAGCTGGTCAGGATGGGGCCAGCACCACAGTGACGCTATTCACGTTCCCATGGTGGTGGCCCCAGCCAGCCTCTGCTTCCAGGCACCAAATCTGGACAGGTCTCGGGTCTTACAGGTGCCCTTCTCCAACCCTGTTTTATTGTTCAGCTGTGACCTCGGCGCGCTCCCAACCTTCCTAACCCTGAAGAGGCCACTCTGATATGACCAGCGTTAAGAGTAAGGCTTAGTGAGTAGTGAGCCAGACTCGAGTACAGGGGAAGCGAAAAGCATTTTCCTTCACAAGGGAGTCAGGGGCTCTGCCGGCTACCTCCAGGACACAGCAAAAGAGCCCCTGCTCCCGGATGGGGCTGGGAATCGAGCCTCAAAGACCACTGCAGGGCGTGTGGGTGGGTGGAGGGCAGTGTGGACATGTTTTGATAGTAGCACCAGCCAGGGTGGCTCTGGGAGTGTCTGTGGAGTATGCTCACAAAATACACTGAACGTTTACAGTTTTTAAAATTCATTAAAATAAGGGACACATTTCCACGAATCCCCCTCACTGTGAACACACTTACCTCACCATTCTTTGGTGGGGGATAGAACTCAGGACCTCCAGCTTGCCAGGCAGGTGCTGTGCCGCTGAGCTGTAAGCCCAGCCCCTCTCTCGCCATTCTTGTCACTTCCTGAGCAGTCCTGGGACACTTCTTTCATGAACGTCTTTAGTTGTACTATCGTGGCTTCCTGGAAGTTCTGGATTAATTCAAAAAGTTTCCATATCGTGGTCATTTTGGCTTGGGAGAAGGGCCCTAAGTTTCATGGTGCCAGATCTGGTGAATGCAGTGATAAGGTCACAGCACCATGTTTGTACGAGCTGCCTGTCCACTGAGTGGCCCTCAGCAGCAGTGTTCACTGTATTTTTATCACATTTCATAAAGATACAACCGAGAATTTTCAGAGCGGCTTCAGAAGGTGGCAAGAATGGTAGGACAAGGTATCAAAAGTGAGGGGAAATACTTTGAGGGGAGTTTAATGACAATGTGTCCTTTACTATAATAATTTTTTAATTTAAATACACACCATCTCTTTTGATCAACCCTTGTATAAGCTATTTAATGTGATGTTTCTATTGCTACTTTCTCATATTCTGAAATAGTCTGAAGTTTCATTCGAATTTCTCTGAAAGTCTCTCCTGAATGCAAAGTAGTTGTACATGTTTCTTGGCTTAGAGATGGTTCAAGTGTGTCCCCCAAAAGTTCATGTCCTGGAAGCTTGGTGCCCACTCTGGTTGTGGCAAGAGGTGGTAAGTCCTCAGTCAACTCTGTCACTGGGAACATCAGCTTCAGAAGGGATTCTGATCTCACATGATGCCATCTGCTGTGTCATGAGGTCACTAAAGGGCCCTTCACCAGAGCCCAGGGAGATCTTGGACTAGATTAGTCTCTTTCCCTTATAAAGTACCCAGCATCCCATATTTCATTACAGCAATAGAAAGCAGATGAATATACACAGGATCCTTTGTTTTTAGACCTCACCCAGAAACAAAATAAATTCATTTTTAATATGATGGATAAATTCAGTGATAGACTGGTTATTATTCACAAAGCAAAGTGGACTCCTAGCTGCTTTTCTTCTGAAAATAATAACAATGGTAGATGAGTTCCATCGTAGACAAGACAAGAGCCAAGACCCAAGAGATGACTTGGCTAGGATCTTGAGGTGTGAGGGGCAGTGGGAAGTTCAAACAGATGTGTCTTTGTGTACTGACACATGTCTTAGTCCACACTCTCTGGCTGTAACAAAACACCTGAGATCAGGAAAACTGTAAAGAATAGAAGCACATTTGGCTCACAGTTCTGGAGCAGAGGAGTCCAAGCACAAACAAGATCCTAGGAGTTAAGAACAAGGTGAAGGCCCTCATGCTGCACCATAACTTGGCAGAGGGCACTAATGCATCCTAGGGTCCCCACCCACATCGATTTATCTAGTAATAGTCATTTTATGAAATATACCACCAACATATGACTCTGAGAATTAACTTCTAAAACACCAACTTTGGAGGGTTCCATTCACATCATACCAACATGTGGAGCACATATTATTCTCTGTGCTGTTACTGTGCTACTCTCTGGAAACTTGGAGTAAAGCACAGTCTCCTCCCCCTTCCAAAGAGTCCTCTCATAAATCGCCAAGAGGTCCCTTCTCTTGAGGGCCAGTGGACGAGTCTGTAAGGTTAAGGAAATGAATGGCCTGCCCAAGGTATAGAGTAAGGGGGTGACACCATGCAGTCTCTGCCAGTATTCCCCGCATTGTTTGGTGTCTCACGAATAAAGAAATGCTACTCGCCAGCCTGTGAGGAGACCAGTCTGGTGTCCTAGTAAGGTAGTGGTTTCAATGGCATCCCAGAAATGACTTGGATTTGTCTCTGTGGTGCTGCCCAGAACAAAGAGAAACATTTTCCTACATTGTGAAGTGAAAGGAACAAATGCATTTCATGGACTCCTGGAATCTAAAGCAGCACTAGACCTTCAAGGTTGCTGAGTATAAACTTCACTTTGAAAATAGGGAGTGGTGGGCAGGGGTTCATTAAGTAACCAGGTGCATATACATAGTTGGGGCAGATGCTAGTAGCACCCTGCCCTGACAGCTCTTACCTTTAGTGCATCCCACAGGTCAGCAAAATGACTTATAAATTTTCACAGCTATATAACTGATGATAAATCTGTAATTGGCCTTTAAAAGATCCTAAGCACATTTTGGGGACAGTCTTCCAAAGCTGACTTGAAAGAGAAGAGTGAGGTGTTTAAGTACACGGCGGGGCACCCCCAGACAGGTGCCTGGAGCCTCAGGCTTTATGCAGAGTGAACCCTTCTCCCTGACTCCCTGGCAGAACCACTCAGCTGCTACTGAGTGCTTTTCTATGATGCACTTGTGAGGAAGAGGTCTTTGGGAAAGAATAAACCTGTGAGCTGTTAGTCCATGAAGAAACAACTCAGCAGTTCCTGGCAAGCGTGTGATTTTTTTTTATCATCAGGAATGATCGTGTGAAGTTGTGTCCCCTGCCCTCCTCACTCTGGCCTCTTTCAGGATGAAGCTGAGGTCCCTAGGGGTAGAATGTGGCTTTCCTGGGTGCAGGTGCTCCCTCTCGGGTGGTGGTCCTCACCCAGCAGCACTGTCAGGCATGTGCTCAATGCAGCTGTCTCTCACACTCAAGCTCGTAGCTTTGTGGCTCTCAGCAGAGCTCCGCTCGTTCTGTCTTACTCTTCACCATGAATGTCCCTGGGCAGCGTTGGGATGCAGCTTAACCCTTGGAGGAGAAAAACACTGAGCAAGTCACTGTAGAATGACCACTACCCCGGGAAATGCCCCTGTTTGGCCCTGAAACAGCATATCCTTAGCTAACCCACCCCCACCGTGACTATCGTGAGAGTTAATTTTCATCATGCAATTGTCTGCTATGTCCTAAGTGCATCAGAGAAAAAGCACATAAAAAGGAAAGGAAAAAAAAATATTAGGAAATCAAATAGACTTATTATTGAAATGTTGCTCTTATCAAGATGATATTTTGGCATTGAATTATTTTGAATCTGCTAAGTTTCTGTGCCTCTTTGTTCCCTTTTTCAGAATGCTAGAAGATGACCTTAAGCTAAGTAGTGATGAAGATGAGAGTGAACAGGTAAGATTTTTCTTGCGTACTGCCATCCTTGGGTTGAGATGTGGGTACCACTTACCCTGCGGCCTGGGTTGGGTGTGACCGAGCTGTGGAAACAGAATTGTGCTGCTTGTGCTCCTGAGCATTGCTTTGCTAATTACAAGCTTTTGTGCAGTTGGACTAGTATGTTAAAATATCTCAGCCTTCGTTGCCTTTAAAGCTTTAATTCTGTGATTATGACAAGGAAGCTAGCTAGGAGTGGGCTTCTGAGAAACAGAACTCCCTCCCTTTTTTGCTGGCAAAGCTCCCTGGGCTTCTAGCTCTGAAACATGTGACCTTCGCCTCATCCGTATGCAGCAGGCAAGCTGTAACATTAAATATTAAGGAGTCTTATACAGATATTATTAACACAGAGAAAGCAAAACGCAGAGGTGAGCTAAAGTGATGAATAAAAAATAATCACACACAGTCTAGGCTGTTTGTCTTAAATGATAGATGTGCTTGAAATATTCTCCCTCGCTCTTGATTTATCAGCTTGAGACCGCAGTCCGGGGAGTTTTAACTGATCAGTAACTGATCAGTCAGTTAAGGTGAAAAACTACCCACTTAACATTCATCACTCTAACTTCCGCATCTCAAGAAATGTTTGTATTTTAAAGCAAGTTTGAAAACACTGAAGACAGATTTCCCTACACTTCGGTTGCCTTTTTCTCCTCACCCGCACTGTACTTTGTCAAGCCTGGATAAACTACATGGGTGGAAAGAAGACTCTGAGAGGTTTATTATGAGTCATTTTTACATGCAATGAAAACACTGCACTTAGGCCCCTCAGCTGAGTTTGGAGCATGAAACCTAACACAAAGGCGCTGTGAAATGCTGCCGCCTAGACATGTAAACACAAATAATGTACAGCCAGAGCAAGCAGGGGTGAACGGAAAGCCAAAGGAGCATTTGCAGGGAAGATGTCTGTGCAGTGTGGCATGGGGTCGCAGGAGACAGAGATTCCTCACCTTGTGAGAGAGGCCTAGGCGACTCAAAGAATCTGGAACCCAGATAGGCAAGCGAAGAACACCCCGAGAGGCAGAACTGGTTGGTGGAACAAGAGGGCCATCTGGAGTTTTTTACAGATTGCTCCGGCGTGGGCACCCCAGGCATTCGGGTCCCACAACTCAGCGATCTTAGCAGGAAGTGGAAGAGTGTCACTCCTGATTTTGGTTCCTTGTCTAAGAGATTAAATGCAGATGATTTCAGCCCTTTGTGTTTTATCTGGCTGAGAGGTTGAGATCAGTATGGTATCGTGTCAAGTGTGTGAAGTATGCATACTTTATATTAAGAAAAAGGAACATTTTTTAATTTGGAAATACTTCATGAGCTGTTTCCAGGAAATATTCCCAATGAAAACTCATGGTAAACATTCACTAGGCACTCACTCTGAAACAACAAACCCTTTCAGTAGACTCCCTGGCTCTATAAACTACTCCTTTCCCATCTGCAACCATTGATAATATTGTACTAAGAATATCCAGGCCAGAGCCTTTACTCTTGCATTTAATGCCTGTGCAATATAAGGAACTGATGTAAGGAGCGATTCGTAGACAGTAATCTCGGTGGCAAAATTAAGACTCCAGGGAGTGGTTTTATAAATCGTGGTTTAAGTTACTGCTGTAACACTAATTATATAAAGTTGTTCTGTTTTGACCTAGAATCACACCCTGGTCTAATCACAAAAAACATTATTTCCTTACTTTTAAAAAAGCCTCATGATATGGTATTTTGTTCGTTCAAGGATCCAAATAAGATCCCCCCCCCAAAAGAATGTAGCATATGCACGCGTGCAACGCACGTACACACTCTTCATTTTTCTCTTTCCAACATTGTGAGATGAGGGGACATTTATCATAAGTGATTTCCCTTGGCATAATCAGAATCCGTACGAGAAACTTCACTCGTCCTTCCCTGCCTCGTACACCTAGCCCCCCACGCTAAGACCCTGAACCTTTCCTTACTTGCACCTTACGTTCTGTCTTTCTGGGTGTTCTGGTCCCTTGAATAAGCAGATGTCCTCAATCGTCTCAGGTTTCCGCACCTGTCTGCCCTCCCACCCACAGCCTGACCTCCTGTGCCCGTGAACATTCCTGTCTAATGCTGCCTGCCCGCCTCCCTGTGCTCTGGGAGCGAAAGACAGCAGTCAAGTTCATAGGAGCCTTCTCCCAGGGTTCACATCCTGGCTCTGCTATTCCATAGCTTTGCAGCCTTGGTCTGGCCCACAACTGCTCTGTACTTCAGGGCTCCATCAGGAACCTGGAATGGATGTTTGATCCCCAGGCTGGCCACTTCCTCAGAATCTCACATCACCTGACATCTTCAGGTCTCCAGATCCAGTAAGCAACATTTGCTTGCTTTTCATTGTTTATAGAAATGATTTAAAAAATCAGTCTGGGCATGGTAGAACATGCCTCCAATGCCAGCTACTCAAGAGGCTGAGGTGGGAGGATTACAGAAGACTAGGATTTCCAGACTAACCTGGGCAACATAGCAAAGTCCTATCTCAAATTTAATTAATTAATTAATGAACAATAAAATTGAATAAAATAAACGTCAGAACAGTACAAGTGCCTTAAGTATCCAGTTTGTTAAATATTCATTAAACAGTCATGTAACTAGTATTCAGATGGAGAGATAGACATGAAAAGCCTCCCCCCAACCCCACCCAGTCGCCAGCTTCCAGAAGAATAATCACTCTCCCATGTTCTACCACCACAGAGTAATTGGGATCATAAAGCATGTTCTCTTTGTGTCTGGCTTCTTCTATTCAAACATGATTTGTGATTGTTCTTTTTGATTCTGTGTTGTATTCCATAGTGTGCATATATCATAATTTACCTATTCCACTGCTAGTAGAGGGGGATTTGGGGTATCTAACAGTGATTATTATCAGCATTCTTCTGTGGCTCTTTTGTTAGAATATGGAAACATTTCTGTTGAGTCTACACCCAAATGTATAAATGCTGAGGGACATTGGTAAATCACCCTACACCATCGTTGTACTGATGGACATTCGCACCAGCCTTGGAGGAGGATTTCCACTGTTCCCCATCCTCCCCTGCCATTCATCTTCTGGATTTCACAAGATAGATGAGCCTTCACTTTTCTGTTTTGCACTGTATTGGTCTAGGTTTGATACTATGGTAGTGCTAGCCTTATAAGACAAGTCAGGAGGTATCCCCAGCTTGTCTCTTTTCCCAAAGATATTTTGTGAAAGTTGATGTTAATTCATCTTTGGAAGAATTCTCCAGTGAAACCATGCAGGCTTGGAAATTTTTTAAATTTACAAATCCTATCTCCTTGTTGGTTGTAGAGCTTCTCAGGCTATCTGCTACTGGCTAAGCCATAGTAATGTGTGCTCTTTAAGCAAGCATATCCATGTTTATGAGTATGGGTTTGTCCTTGACTTGATGACAGTGACGTCTTGATGCCTGCAGAATCTGGAGTGATAGCCTCTGTTGCATTTCTGACATTCATCACCTTCCTACCTACTCTTTCTTAATTTTTTATCAGTCTTACTAGAAATTTATTGGCTAAATTTTTTGGACTAGCTTTTGGGTCCTTGATACTCAGTTCACGAACTTAATTCTTTCAGGATTCTGATCACAGAATGCATTCCACAAATTAAATTTGTGAACCTAGATACTACTGTATAACTTTTCTGTTCCCAAGGTCACTGATTTCTTATCTTTATCATTTCCTCTTTTGGGGGGCAGGGGTACCTACTTCGCTCTTTTTCTTTTTTGTCAAAAAAGTTTAGATTACTGATTGGAAACATGCCCTCTTTTATGATGTAAGCATTTAGTGCTATGCATTTTGTCTCAGTGTGCTATAGTTTTATCTCACGAATTTTGACTTATTGTGTTTTTACTGAAAGTCAGTTTAATGAGACTTCTTCGATTCATGGATTATGAATAAGTGTTTTTTTTTTATTTCCGAGTGTTCAGAGAACTTCTTTAATCTTACTTTCATTGGTTTCTAGTTTTGTTCCATGATGGTCAAAGAAATCAAACATATTCTGTGTGGTTTCAATTGGTAGAAATTTGTTGAGGATTTTTCTATGAGGTCTGCATTGGTATGTTTTATAGGTACTTGAAAGAATGTGAATTCTGCTGGGGTTTGGGAAAGTGCTGTATAAATATTAATTATGTCATGTTTGATGTTTTGAGTCTTCTATATATTTTCTGACTTCCTATTTACTCTGTCAGTTGCTGAGAGAGTAATAATTGTGGATTTATTTCTCCTTTCCATTCTACCAGTCTTTTCTCTTCGTGTATTTTACAGCTGTGTTACTTGGTACATATGCACTCAGGATTGCTGTGTCTTGGTAGATTGACTCTTTTATCATTTTGTAATGTCCCAGTCTAGCTCCGGTCATTTTCTTTCCTCTGAAGTGTACTTTTTTTGATATCAAGAGAGATATTCTTGCTTTCTTTGGACAAATGCTTGCATACTATAACTTTTCATTCTTTTATTTTCAAACTACATACATTGTTGAATTTGAAGTTTCTTATAGACAGCATATATTCATCATATCTTTTTCTACTCTGCCAATTCCTGTATTTTAATTGATATTATTTAGACCATTTACATTTAATGAAATCATTGGTACCTTAAGACTCAAGTATGACACTTTGGTTTATTGTTTTGTTTTGTTTTCTGTTTTTCCATTTGTACTGTATTTACTATTTTCCTGCGAGTTCCTTTAACATTTTGAAGAATTCCGCTTTGATTTATCTATAATGTTTTTGTATGTATTCCTTTGTATAGCTTTTGTAGCTATTACATTATACAGAAAGATATTTACAGTTCACTGGGGTGTGGTTATTTTCTAAGTTTTCTCCTTTAAGTTCATATAATTACTTCCATGACAGACTTGATAACAGCAGATAATACAGAATTTAGTTTTCTATCTTCTCGCATGAACAACCAGAATCTAATTCTGTGTCTTTTTCAGCTTCATGTCCCTAATGCATACT